ACACAACTTACACACCTATAGACTCACACCCTTGACAAAGAGATCAATTCTCTTCACTTCTATACACATGGAACAAGTTTATATTTTATGTTTACCATGCTTAATATCTGTTTGGGTGACTTTAAGTTAAGATTTGTATAGTTTGACAAGGTAACTAGCTTGTCATTGGTACCATTTGACTATGTGACTGGCTTTAGTAAAATAATTACTTAGAGGACATATATCACACTCAGCACTTCTACAAGCAACAAAACAGACTGATTCTTTAGGCATATCTTTCGTTGTATGACTTTTAGCATGCCTTGGCCAGTTACTATCGTCAATGACTTTCTTAGTACTTTATCCTTCAACAGAGTTTATCTATATCAATAGCAGCTTACATTGTTATTAATTAGCTGAGCTTTCAAAACAGAGAATTTGTTCCTGAGAACTATCATTTTTTTAGGTATTCTTGTTGACATGTTTGCACTTTTTTCGGTAGTTCAACCTAGTAACAGTCGTTCTTCACTTCTTCATTTTAAATCAGTGTTGGCGTTTATTCTTTAGGAATCTCTTTATCGTATATTAATTTAAACATCTGGAACCATTCAAACTGTGGTTCTCCTTTGCTGCTAATTTTCAATTACATCAATGAATACCAATCCCGCTTCCATTTATGAAAGTCATTATTAGCACATGTGAACCCTAGATCCTTGATAAATTCTTTGAATGCTCTAGAAGCATGCAAAAAAATCATTTTGACAAGAGGACCCCAACTTAAAATGAGCAGTGCTCTCTCATACATTGCACAATTATTCCCATAAGTCTTGTTGCGTGTCCTTACTTCCTGTATTCCTATTGAGTGTGTATGAAGTACACGATGCAATAGTGAGTAGTTTGTTGTGCTGGTACCTACTTGAGAAACTTTACGAAGGCTGCACATACTATCTTGTCGTCTACATAGTAGATGATGAGTTCAAGATCTCTGATGCTCTCCAACTTCATATTTTTGAAGTGCTGTTAAAAAACGTGACATTTTTTGGCAACACATCGTTCATTGGATCACAGTGTCCCTCGAGAAAATTGTAGCTTCTTAGATTCAACCACGCTGACATCTCTAATATTCTCATGTCGAATAGCATGTATTCTTACTCTCACGTGCCGAACGGGATCAATTCCTTTATGAACTGCTTGAACATAGGATAACGTTCTTCGACGAACTTGCACTTGTGAATTTTTCTCAGTCAACTCCAAAACCATTGACTAAAGAGAAAATTGTAAAAAATGGGTGTTCCTGACTCTTTTGTACACTCAAAGGAGACTTTTGGCTCATCAAATTTAATGTAGGACTCTTTGATACCCTCAGATATAGTGATAAGCGTAACTTATGCATAAGAAATGGGTGCTTTTCATTTTTCGGGTAGAGGTTGAGTTTTGAGAGTTAGTTTTAATTTATTTTGTGTATTGTATTGCTCTTTAAGAACAAATCAGAATAATAGTCGTCTAATTAAGGTTCAATCTTCAATTAAAGCCATAGGTCAATCTTAGTATTGATATATGCATATTTTTCTTGCTTTTATCTATCCTTTTGTGTAAACTCTAGAAAAAATTGAGTAAAAACAAGCCAGCGGTTCAAGAGAAACAAGTGATAATGAGAATTTTTTGGTTGATTTGTCTCAAAAGTAAAATTAATAATAATTATATTAAATATTAATGTTTGCCTAGAGAGTACTTTTTATCATGTTATCATGCTATCTCACTTTTCTTAATTCCTAATAAGAAGCATCTCTTAATTAAGCAAGTGCATCTCAGGATAAGTTAAATTCAAAGAATGGTGAGGATAATGGTCTACTAAGTTAGTAGATAAGAACTTTACAATAAGAAGATTCTTTATGTAGAGAATAGGCTGGAATATAAGAAGGTGGAATTTACTATGAAGTCAATAGTATTAAAGCTAAGAATGGATATAAAGAATTTAAAATTGCTACTGTCAGACCACAAAAAAATATGCCGCATACCGATATCATATCTTATGTGATTTTCGAAACAAATTCTTGGGAGGATCATAATTCTATTTAAATTGTAAATGCTCTGAAAAAGATTTCTATTTAATATCCTGACTATAAAATAGCTTTGTTGGACATAGGAGCTAATCTTGGATGGTTCACATTCATGGCTGCTTCACTTGATTACAATGTTATTGCATTTGAACCATTAGATCAAAACTATAAGGCTATAGAATATGCAATGTGTCTTAACTAAAATGTAAGCAATCTCATATAACTAGAGAAATTCGCCTTAGGTGCTAAAAATGAGACTTGCAATTTATATTCACAGCCCCAAAACACATAAAATGGAATTATTAGATGCGGTGATGATATTAATGACCATTCTAAAGTAGTTGACGTTTCTAATGTTATTTTAAGATAGGAGGTACCTATAAGAACCTTAGATTCGTATACGAAAACCATATCACCCGATATTAAGATTGGAGTCTTAAAAATTGATGTTGAAGAGTTTGAATATGATGTGTTTGTGGGAGGGAAAAATTTTCTGAAAGAGCATAAAATACCTTATATTGTATAAGAATATAGTCTTAAAAGTTATGGCGCTCATTAAGAAGACCATTTTAACTTATTTAAAGACTTGGGCTATGAGGCAAGACTGACATCATTTAATGGATAGGGGTTCAAAACTTTCAATGAACTAAAAGAGGAAATAAGATCATAGGTAGGAGATAACTAAATTGAGGTATATTTTGTTCTCAGCACATTTGAAAGCTAGTGTGTGGGCTCCAATCCTAATGATACCTGCAATAGCTACCAATGAGGTAAATTTGATCATTTTTATATTTCAAGCATAAATTATCTCTAACTAAAAATTTAGCCATTGCATATAATGAGGGTTTGGTAGATGATCTGGCCGAGCATATTTGGTTACATTATAAGTAAGTCATTCATTTCAATTGATCTATGATTTCTCTATAGCTAAGCTACTCAGGAATTGATTCTTATTTAATAAATGCTTTAAATTTGAATCTAAAATTATTCATTCTTATCTACTTCTTGAGATTACATCGGGGTTTTGGGGTTTTGGGGTTTTGGGGAGATCGGAAGAGCACAC